TGGGTTCAATTGTTTACGAATTTTCTTGTTTGAATATGCATTCAGGTCTTCCAGGCTCAATTTTGTGCTTCTGATATGGTCAATTCCGTCTCCTTCTCGCAATGTGACTCTTTTATTTCTTTTTAGTTTCAGATCTCTGTCTGCAGGTGTTCTTATTGTTTTGCTCGGTAGTTTGTTCATTTTAGCTCTTCCAATCGATGCCCAATTTTCCAGTTTTCATATTATTTTCCTTATTTCTATTTGTTTCCCCTTTAATGTATTTCTCCATGATTTATGGGTTTCAGGTTATTCTCTGCTGAAGACCAGAGATCTAGAATGGTATTTCTTCAGTCCTGTAGATAGGAAGTATGGTAATGGTTCACGACTGAACCGTGCCACTGGCAAAGGGTACTGGAAGGCAACCGGAAAGGACCGGAAAGTACGTCATAAGTCACAGACAATCGGGATGAAAAAAACTCTAGTCTTCCATAGTGGACGAGCTCCAGATGGAAAGCGGACCAACTGGGTAATGCATGAGTACAGACTTGTGGATGAAGAAGTAGAGAAAGCCGGAGTAGTGCAAATGGTGATATTGAAAGTCAAAATTTAGTTCATATTTGATCTTTTCCATTTTAGAATTGTAAGCTTATTAGAAATTATTTGTTCTTGTTTTGGGAGGGGAAAGGAGGCATTTGTGCTGTGTAGAATTTTCCAGAAGAGTGGTTTAGGACCACCAAATGGGGATCGGTATGCACCTTTTATTGAGGAGGAATGGGACGAAGATGTAGCCCTCATGGTTCCAGGTGGAGAGCCTGAGGATTATATTGCCAATGGTGATGATGCACACATTAGGGTGAATGACCTTGACCAGGTTTGTTCTTTAAATTTTGTTTTACGTGCAAATAAGTGTAGGCATTTGTGTGCCTCGCACATTCATCACAGAATTAGTTTTATAGTGCAATGAATAAGTTTTGCCAAATTGTCATTGCTTGCAAACAAACCTAAGACCAGGAGTGATCACGACAAAAACCAATGTCCAAACTGATCTAGCACAATCCGTGCAGCGAGTGTAAATTCTCCAAGATTAACATATATGGTTTTTCAAGTTTTTGTTGGTTTCTCAGTCATATTTTCTCTTTTATGGTTTTGTGTTGAACTTGAGGTTTTATACAATTGTGAATTTGAAATATACTACAATGAGTAAGAAATTTAATCTGCATTGTATGGGTGAAATTCAGGAAATTAGTGGGAAAATTTACAATTCTTCTCCTTGATCAGTCTAAAACAGATGGGATATGCATTATATACCCCTCTCCCTCCTCAAAACAATGTTAAAGAGAATTTCAGTGCTTTATTATTTTCTGGATAAAATTTTAATTTAAATTGGAACCGCAAAACAAGGATCTATACCTTGTCTTTTGGACAGATTTGCACATGAGATGAGGATTGGAGAACCCCTCAAATACACAAATAACCATTACATGCTTAGTTATTGAAGAAAATGCCAATTGCCTTGCCCCACTTAAGCAATAAGTTTCACCAGGTTAAGCATTTTTATGGTGTCATTGCTCTAAAGTTGATCGAAGGCATGCAATTTATATTTGTCTTCAAAAATCGTCCAATCAGTTAGATCTTCTCAAGTTCAAAACAACTGGTATTTCAGTACTCACGGAGTTGGGTGCCATCACACACCAACATGCTTGGTTATTAAGGGAAGCCTTTTAGGTTTTTTTGTTTTTTCTGAAAGTTTCTTAAAAATAGTAGATGGTTCATAGTCACTAAGCCCAAAAGTTCAATCGCCATCGGCGTGGTCCGCTCCGCTTCTCCACTGGATCTTTAGTGATATATAATGCTTTTGATTAAATAATAGGTTTGGGGTGCCCCTGGCGAACTGCCCCGGGGGTGGGGGGTGGGCTTAGCTCCCACCATACGGTATATAGCTACATTGAAAATTTTCAATATATCATTTCTACCGGCATTAGATTTAGGTTATCGAAAAGGATACAGGTTGTTGACTAGTGCCTATAAATAAGCTATAACCCTTTTGGTGTTCTCATATATAGTGAAACCAAACACTCCGTGACCGTATGTAGAATTTTACTGAACCACATAATCTTTGTGTTCATTGTTAATATTTTATTTTTTTAGTTTGATTGTTCACTGCAGTAGACATTCACGATACAGTTGGATGGTACTTTGCCATTGTGGAAGATGGTAGCTTTGATATTCTAAAACTAGTTCTTTAAGGAACCTCTTCTATAACCTTCTTTCAAATTAGGTTGTTACTCATAATCAAGGACTCACATATGGTGTATGGGTACTCTGAAAAGGCATGTTAAGGGAAAGAGGGGTGCTAATAGTGTATAATCGTAACATTAGTTAAAGACTTGAGGAGCTATGAGTTGACTAGTAATAGCTTTGTTGATTGAGTTGATTTGGGTTGTTTTCTTGGACAATTTGTTTGTTCTAATTTGTATTAGGGTCTGAGAAAAGAACTACAAACTAAAGGCAGATAACTCACAAAGTCCGGAGTATCCACATTGGGTACAAATATGGCCAGAGATATGTTGGATACTATTAGAATGTTTAGTTGAAACTTGATTGATTAAATATTGGTGTTTAAGAAAAGAAAGAGAAGACACGAAAAATTAGGAAGAAAAAGATTATGAAAGGATGTATGTTGGGAACACCCTATCACTTATTTATATTGCATTGATATTGAAGACAATTATAATTTTAAGAAAGTAGAACATAATAGGAAACCAAATAGTAGGAAAGTATAACAGTAGAAGAGTGACGTACTAGGAAAGTAACACTTCAACACTCTCCTTCAAGCTAGATCATACAGATAAAATCTCTCAGTTGTTGCAATATCTCCATGTGGATAATAAAGATGATAAAACAAAGCTCTAGATGACTGTTTCAGACTACTTAGAGACTTGTTTAATCGACAGACAGTATCACGATACTACCCCGAATAATAAATCCATGTGGTTGCTCCATGTGAAGTCTAAGTCATTCTTTTTGTTTTCTAGAGATGTAATTAATGACCCCATCACAATAAGTAATAGCAAACGACGATCACGACAACTCAGAGGAAAAGAACACGAGGACGACAAAGGACAAACACAACAACACCAGCACCACCAACAATACCGGCACAAACTTACACAATTAACAATACCATATCGTGTGGTATTCATAATCCGTTTCTATATCCGTATACATGCTCCTATATTATAAATCTAGGAAGCATAGATACTTAACGAAGGGTTGTTGTGGTAGTATCAACCTTTTCAGAATTCAATATTTGATAATTGACCAGCTTCCAACAGCATTGAGGTCAAATCGTGACTATAAGACTCTCTTCATAGTTGCCATTACATTCACAGTTTTAAAGGAGCCCTTCAAAACCTCAACTCATTCAAGGTGAAACACACAGGTATGGAAAAAAAAGAAGCAAACTTAACTGTTATCTAGGGAAGTTCTAACCCTTCTGACCACCTGATACTACACATGCTAGGAAGGGGAAAAGCATCGGTGGAAGATATGATGAATTGGGAACTGCAATCATGTGCATGGATGTTCTTATTCTTGTTGATGTGTTTTGGTGTTCTTTTTCATTTGGGTGTTGTTTCTTTCGGGGTGGTGTTTGGGGGTTATGGCCATGTTTCTGGGCAATCAAATTAAAGTGGGCAAAGGTACAAATGCACTGAAGAGTTTTAAATCCAGATATTTATGATCAAAACTGTTTTTAAAGTTGAAAAAAAGCCTTTTCCATTACATGTATACCATCTAACCCTTTTGGACGTAAAAAAGTGCTGAATATTGTTACGGTGACATTGGTGGGTGAAATGAAGAAGCAGTGTGATACTTTTTTACACCAAAAGTTGGCTTAGTTTCTGGATTAGAACCCAATAGCTATCTGAAATTCAGTTTTCTTTTGGAATGAGGGCAGTCTTAACTAGTTCTTTGAAAAGCGTGTCTAGGCGAGAAGCGAGGTGAGGCTAGGTCAGTGTTGTGAAAAGTTCGCCTAGGCGAGAAGCGAGGAGAGGCGAGCATATCTCACCTGGAGGACCCCAGGCAAAACGAACGTGAGCGAAGCAAGGAAAAAGCGAGAAAAAGCGAAAAAGCATTCGCTTTATTATAAAAAGCGGGAAATGCTTGATTTTTAATTTGAACCGTTGGATTGGGCGATTGAAAAAAAAAATTATAAGATGAGATACACCGAATTATCCCTTTATCTAATAAATAAAATCACAAACTCTAATTTATCCCTAATTTATGCTCTTAGCTGCTCGTTGCTCAGGAGGACTACACAGAAGCTCGAAGCTCGTTGCCCGCTGCTACACAGAAGCTCGTTGCTCGCTGGACTCGATCGACAGAGGCTTTCAGTCGCTGCTCACTGGACTCGATCGACAGAGGCTTTCAGTCGCTGCTCACTGGACTCGATCGATCGACAGAAGCTCGTTGCTCGTTGCTCGTTTCTCGTTGCTCCTACAGGATCGACAGGTTAGTCTTCTTCTCTCTTCTTCTTCTCTTTTTTTTTTGTTTCTGTCTGTTAGTCTCCTTCCTCACCAATTCTACTGTTTTTTTTTTTTCTTCTGATCACATGTTCTGTCTTTTGCTCCCTTCCTCACCAATGTTTTTTTTTTTTTTAATTTTTTTGATCACATTTTTTTTTTCCAGATAAGCAATGCTCCGAACAATATTTCTTTTTTTCCTTTTATTGCTGTCTAGTCCATATGAAGATCCCACACAAAAGTCATGTGAATGTGAACAATATGTCTTTTTTTTTTAAGCACAACTTGTTGCTCGTTGGATTGATTTCTAAGTCTTTGAGATAGTTTCTTTAGTTGTTTGTATTGTGTCTTATGTTTTTAAATATTAGGATTTGAGATATTATTAGTGTTTGTTTGAATTTAAATGTTTAAGCTATGATTGTTATTAAGATTTGAGATATTATTAGTGTTTGTTTTAATTTAAATGTTTATGGTTTTACTTGCATTTAAATATTTAGTATATATAAAATTAGAATTTAGATGTGTATAAGTAATTAAACTAAAATATTTATTTATTTTTTTAACTGTTCGCTTCGCTTCCCGCTTAGGCATTGGGAGCCTTGGTCGCTTCGGTTCGCTTTATGCCTTAAATAACACTGGGCGAGGTTATCTCGCCTGGAGGACCCCAGGCGAAGCGAACGTGAGCGAAGCAAAAAAAAAAGCGAAAAAAGCGTTCGCCTAACGCTTAAGCGCAAGGCGAAAAAGCGACCGCTTTTGTTATGAGAAGCGAAATTGTTTTATTTTTAATTTGGACAGTTGGATTGGGCGATTAGAAAAAAAATTATAAGATGTGATACACCGAATTATCCCCTTATCCAATAAATACAAACTAAACCCTAATTTAAATCAGATTTTTCGTTGGTCGTTGCTAAGGCTGAACTCCTACATACGATCGCTGGACTCGCTAGACTCCTACACCTGATTGCTGGACTCGATCGATAGAGACGATCGACTCTCTGTCGCTGCTCCTAAGGTTTCTTCCCTGCTCGTTGCTCACACTGGAGGCCGGACAAAGTCTCCTTCNCTGGACTCGCTAGACTCCTACACC